TTAGGAATCTATCTACACTGAGTCAGAATCTGTTGCGAGAATAATCCTAAGGTTTAAGTCACTGAAAACCTTCGTATCTTTTTTATAAAAAGCCTAATGTCATGATAAATGCATGTACTTTAACACATGCTAAATTCTGAAAATAAAATACTAAATAATAGTAAGTATAACGTGAAACTTAATTTTATTCTGTGATATTCCATCTGGTCCACCTGCACGCGACGCAAATGATTCCAAACAAAGAGACTTGTTGATGCGTAATTTGTTGCCGAGTGAACTGCAATAAATTCGTGAAGGGCCGCTTTCTAATTTTCACTAAGTCTCTGATGTTGTGGTACTACGGTACGTACTATGAGTAGGTAGTAACGACGCAATAAGCGCCATATGGGCCTGTTTGGGCAACACGGCCCTACGAGAAAATGTTGCGTCATACACAAACTCTTTCCTAACGAATGTAATCGTGATGCGGTTCAAAGTTAATATCGTATAATGTTACACGACACTTTGCATTAGTATGTAGTTAAATAGGTTATTGAAAGGTTAAGAATTTCTTGAAGATTATAAATTAGAAAACGCATTATTTTATTTCCTCGTACCGTGTATTGTATGAATCGTGAAGAATGGAGAAGGCTACATCGACAAGAGCCTGGCTCTTGTATAGGATGATGACTGTGTATTAACTTATTCGAAAGTTGTCTTATCTTATCATTCATTATTCAGTGCTTGTTAGTTGAGGTCTTCCGGTCTATGACTGAATAAAATCCGACATTGGTTCTACATTATCACATAGAATCTTAACAAATAAATTATCATTATTGTACCATTCAAGAAATTTCTTCGTAATAATGGTATAATTTTATTAGAGGATGCAAAACAGGTTCAAGTAAGGGAGTTGGTATTGATTCGTCACTCAACTTCCCCTAACCCAGTTTGCATGTGAAGTTGGGGTTGAATAATGGTCTTTATTCGTATTATGTTATGCAGAAGATGTTTTCTTTTGCAAAAATAATATTAAAACGTAATAATGTTATTGTATGTGTGTATACAAATATATGTGTATTGTCTATATGTATATATAACCATTATCTAACATTTTTAACGATTAATATACTAAAATACGTTATTACATAAATTGCATGTGTATTTATATATCGTCAAAAAATTAGACTGATTGTATTGGTACGTCTTTACCAAATCATAATATTTACTTGGAGTTACTGCTAAAGTTATTATATGGCATCGTCGTTGACAGGATGTGAAACACGTTAAGCGCGCATTTGTAAATTTATAACTGGTTTATTGGTCAAGTTGTGGTAAATTAGGTAATGTTTGATATAAAGTGTAATACAGTGTAGTGAATGAATTGCACGCGGAACGTAAACAAACACGGCATGGAGCAGGAGGTGGTGGGTGGCGGGCGTCGGGGGGCAGAGCGCCCACCCTTGGCAGGCTAGCAAGCGGACGCGACGACGGGCGCGGCCCGCGGGATGTGGGTAGATACGCGTCTACGCGCGTGCCGCAATCGCCCGCCAGCTTATGGAGGTCGTTATTGATTTTCCACTCCCGGCTAAATATAGCGTCTACTTTTGACTCCCTATAGACATAATTATAATACTAACATTACGCGTTCACACCCATATTACACCCCAAACACACGAAAAAATATATAAAAAAGTGATCATAACATTCATGGTCGTTGACATGTATTAGGTTTTTATTACATTAATCTTTTTTAACTAGACATCTAGTATATATATTTTGTCAATTGAACAAGATTTGGAATTTCGGTTCACGTTATCATACACCTTTTAATGCACGTATTGTCGAGAATAATTTTATGTGGCACCAAGACACAAAAAAACTAAGCGTAAATGTACTAATGGTATAATAATGTAGCGTTGAGTAGATAGTGCCTAGTTACAGTGTTTGTTGTGCAAACTGCACGGACGTACCGTTACTTCCTGCTGTGCCGCGCCTGGCTTCGAGCTCGCAGCACCAAAGGCGCACTATGCAGAGCACGTGCTCTCATCACGCGCCGTCCTCGCATTTCTATGTATAGCAGAGCTAATGACCGCTTGTCTTCACTGTACAACGCTTGTAACTTGCTTTATGTCGAATCTCAGATCGTGATCCGACTCAAGGCCATCGGCATTGCTCTTGTATGACGTAGTGCTGTATCGATCGGTCATTTCGCCATGCCGCCAATGTCAAGGCTATTTTTTTACTACCAATACTTTGTGTGTTGCTAAGACAATCTATTTACATTTATACGAAGCAGTTAGGTGAAAAACTTTATAAATAATTCTCACATGTTTGACAACATCACAAAAACGAAAAGGTGTAAAAAAGAATAGGTCGTCAGGTGCAATGTAACTAGCCAACTGACGATATTTCCTAATATTTTTAGACGTGAGCGTCCATATACACCTGTCCTAGCTTACTAGGGTTGGTCAATTTACGTTTGCATAAAAAAAGCTGTACTAACGCTGCCGACTCGTACGCTACATCTACCTCGGAATCAGCTACTTTGACAACCCTTAAAAAACTAGGACTAGTTATATTTCGAAATTTTGTAGATGTGTTGGCGATATTAATAAAGTTGCTATGGGATTCACAAAGTAGTAAATTCAAATTAATTGATTGCATTAAATGTAACAAGTAAGCACAATAGATTATTGAGACACAATATATTAATAAGATCTATTTAATGTGCCAGATAACCACACCTATTGCCTGGTCTCAAATTAGGAAATTCCTTGTACTATGAGTACCAAAGCAACGGAATTCACTCTGGGGCACTACCCAAAACACCCAGACCAGAACCAATTGAGATAAGTTAATTTCTCCAAATTGTTCCTACCGGGAATCGAACCAGGGAATTCCTCATCCAGTGCAAACCTTTGGGCAACCGAGGTCGTGATTTAAAGTATTCCTAATTTAATACCCATTACATTGTGTATAATATAATAAACATTCTCATAAATTACTTACCTTTACATTGTACCATGATCAATGGTCGGAACAGAATTAGATTAAGAATAGAAAAAGAATTAGGAATAGAAAAAGATGTTCCACATTTATAGATACATGTATAGATATTTATCCTTATCTTTAGTTACAAGTAGCGACATAGAGTCGTTAAAACCACCAAATAATAATTAATAACTTTTTCAAATTCCGCGTGGTGCGGTGTCTAAAGCTAGGGAGGGGCTAGCGAGTGACCATTCTCGTAACTTTTTTATTCTCTACTTTGGTAAAAGGTCAGTTATCTACTGCATTTTTACATGGCACCATTAAAATTACTTTAAAATCCAACTTCGAGTTCCTAGGTCAGTGGTTTTGTCTTACAACGCAGTAAAACATTTCCGGAAATCCGAAATCCGAAAAAGTTATTAATTAATATTTGGTGGTTTTAACAACTCTATGTCCCTCCTTGTAGCTATATCCTATATATGTGGAACACCTTTTCCCAACCATTGACTGTGATACATGAAACATTTGTAAATTAAGTAAATTACACACAAAATATAAAATTAGTATGTTACTTATTCAAATATTTGGTCTACACTATAATGTTTTTTTATGTGAACTAGCATTAAACTTATTTGTTTGTTGTAATTTTAGTGTATCAGGCAAGCTGTTATATACTTTTAACTCACATTACCTTTTAAACTTTTACACACTTTGCTGTTCTTGATGTAGTGTCCATTATCAGATTGTTTTGATGTGTTTGTCGATTTTCATGATCTTTGGCACTGCTATCCATTTGCTGGATTTGTCGTTCAGTTCATGAGTTTAATCAATTTCTATGCCCATGGGTGTAGAAAGATAGTACGGTATGATGTAGCGGACTAGCTTCCGCAACTTGACGTGGTAGCGCCTATTTTGCGTGTGGTCCTATGGGTAGATATAACCTTGAAGCAAATACACAGACAATGTCATTGTTGAAATCAATCTATCAATCTGGTACACGGAATCATAGGGAATAGTTTATCTGTCTGATTAACAGCACTTACGGGGATTGACAGCTGGCTCGTTACAGCCACGTGTAAGATATCTACTGAATCGGGGTCAAGGAGAGTTGAAGGGTTGCCGCATGGTTTAATAGTATGATAGAGAATTTATTAATTATTATTACGTATTGTAATGCGTTCTATAGCAAGTTAATAGAAAACTAGTTTCAAAGTATTTTTAAGTGGAAAATTATTAGACATAAGTTCAGCTTAATGAAACATGTGAAATTTGAGCTCTATCAATGGATTGGAGTTGCTTGAAAAATCGATTAGGAGATATAGAAATAATGCCACATGAAATAGGCGTTCTAACGATGTCGAGTTGTGGGGTTGCAGCTCGTTCTATCATAGTCTAGAAACAAATGTTAGTTTACGAATCTTAATTAATAGTTTGTAAATTCAAAATTACCCATATAGTATTTTCAGTTTTATAAGTGTCTACTACGTTCTGGTGGTTTCAATATATCTTGTTTTTTTTTTGTAGAGAACTGATCTTTTTTTATAATATTAAGTGACGGGACGAACAAGTCGTGCGCCTGATGGTAAGCTACACGCCTGTCCATAACAGTTAACAATAGCAGTGCCACTCAGAGCTTCAAATCGCAAAGATCTGAAGGGCACTGCCCAGACATAAGTTGACAAGTCCCACGTGCCTGTAATTTCAACAGCAAATAGTGTGATTATATCGACGGTGTCACTACTTTCTAGACTGCGTTCTAATCCTAACGCAAAAGCATCCTGAAAACGTTTGCGGCTAAGGCCGATGCGCCGATGCTTCTTCATTTCATCCAGGTTCTGGTAAGGTGATGGGGTAGTCGGCGCCTCGAGCGTAATAATGTGTGTTTTTATGTTTTGTCTCTCTATTTACTAATAACAATCATGAGTTAAAATTATCCTGTATTTACTAACAAGTGAGCCTTGGATGCTAAATAAATGATTTATTTATTATTATTATTATTATTATATCTGTATGTTTCTTTGTTTCAGGAGAAAGGCACTTCCCTGCCAGCACAGCGCCTGAACAAGCACCCGTCGAGAGGGCTGCTAAAGCACATCCTGCAACAGACATACAATCAAGCAGTAATAGATCCTGACAAGCTGAACCAATATGAACCCTTTTCTCCTGAGGTTAGTGTTGTTATCCACTATTACATTTATGTGAACAAATTGCAGATATGTTTTGGAAACAAAAAGCCTGTGGTCTGTTGATAAACTACAAAATGTAAAAATTGCCCTTATGAAAGTAGTACCTTTTGTTTAAAAATACCAAGTGATGTTGTATTTTTTAACGCCTGCAATTGAATTGAACCGGTAATATGTAATAAATTCGATTAATGTGTCTGTGTTTAGGTATATGGTGAAACATCCTACGAGCTGATATGTCAGATGATTGACCAGATCAAAATAAATTCAGACGATGTGTTCGTGGATCTAGGCTCGGGTGTGGGTCAGGTCGTTTTACAAATGGCAGCAGCCACCCCGTGTCGCGTCTGCCTCGGCGTGGAGAAAGCTGAAGTGCCTAGTAAATATGCTGAGGTAAGTGGTGGGGCATAATTGTCCTTTTCTTCCACAGACTACAGTTTATACTTTCAGCAATGAACATCTGAAAGTGGGTGTGCTAACATTAAACATCAATATGTATTATTACTTTTTTCAGAGCATGGACCTCAATTTTAGAACCTGGATGAAGTGGTACGGCAAAAAGTATGGAGAGTACAAGTTGATAAAAGGCGACTTTCTGTTGGATGAACATAGAGAAAAAATTAATGCAGCAACAATTGTCTTCGTAAATAACTTCGCATTTGGCCCCCACGTAGATCATCAACTGAAAGAGAGATTCGCGGACTTGAAGGATGGTGCGAAAATAGTATCGTCCAAGAGCTTCTGTCCACTGAATTTTAGAATAACGGATAGGAATCTGAGCGACATTGGTACCATCATGCACGTGAGCGAAATGACGCCACTTAAAGGATCCGTCTCCTGGACAGGAAAACCAGTCTCGTACTATTTACACGTTATAGATAGGACCAAATTGGAGAGATACTTTCAAAGACTGAAAAACCCGAAACTCAAGGTCAGCAAAAGGGTCTGTTTCCAATCATGTCATCTTTCTATTTCTTAGTATATAGTATTAATATAATTATTTTAATATGAAATATTTATGTGCCTTTTACCAGGTAATTTTACAATACTTTCTCGAGGTGCTATTCATTTCATTTTTTGTTCTTTTTGACTCAATGATGTTACCTTCACATTATTGCAAAATATTATGTTTCACTTATTTATATAACTCTCATCAGTCATCACATGTATAAATAAAACATTGTATAGGGTACATTTGTTTCACCGTCCATTCCATCTGTTCTAATTTTTTAACGAAGCTACATGGTATTTGGTCAATATTTTTTATACTCATAATCACTGGTGTTTTCTATTGCTTTGTATTTGCACGTCAATAGTTATATTATTCTAGTGTATACTTTATATGTGTAGTAAACTGTACCTTGTAATATTAGTGGTATAAACAGACACGGGTATTAAATATAACTGTGTGTATCATCGTTTCCTAAAATAGCTCGTTGCCTAAAAGTGTAAAAATTTTTATTTAAATAATTCAATGATTATTCTTTATTAAAAAATATTTGGGAAACGCTGATTTATGTGGTAGTCACTGAAATTTATAGTAAGTCCGTGTTTCAATAAGGTTTTGTACACAGGGTGTGCATAATGGCGAGGATGAAGAGGCAACTGGCAAGCGGCATCTGAGCGCTCCGCCGACGCGGCAACCCACGCCAGATCTGCTTAATGGCAACAGCAACCATAGCACCGGCTCGCTGCCTGAGCGCAGGAGGAAAGTGGCCCGACGTCGCCCAGTCAGGTTAGTTTATACCTTGTCAGTTAAGTCCCCTCTGTCAAGCAGGCTTTGCTCTGCATGCTTTTCGGCTCCTCCTGTATACCAACCGTATTATAGCTATATTTATTGTCACAAATGGAATCTGAAATATGTATGGTGATACTGTAAGCTATTACTATTATATTTTTTCTCAAACAATGCAAATGCTTTAGTTGAATTATTATCAACTAAATATTAAAGTAAAAGTTCCAAATAATAGAATATAGAAATGAATTTTTTTAACAATCATAGTTACTAGTTTAGTGTACAATTTATTTACATTCCGGGTGGATTATGCAGCATTTTATCACTAATCTGACCGGCCAGTTGACAGTGGATGCCAAGTGACCATAGGCGTTCTGTCAACACTTAAGAAAATGAGCTGAATAACGTTAGTCCCTTATCGTTCGCAGTTTCACATAATGAGGCGTAATAATCGAGAATCTGATGTATTTATATGCGCCACAAAACACGTCAATGATGTTGACAATGCGTGATAAAATCTGTGCGATAAATAAATCACGGGCTAGATTCGTTTCCTTAAACCTGTCTACAAAACAATGAACGTTTAGCTTAGACAATTGAACCACCAACACACTGACTGTTCGTTAGCCGTGAACTGACTGCGATGTTTTATACGTCAATGAACGCAACACTCCGTACAAACTTTGACAATTTGCGTTACATACCCAAGTATATGGACATCAACATATATACATTAAATAGATACTTCCCACGTAAGTTGTTGTAAGGTACAAAGTAGCCTCATTTTTTATATATATTACAGGTTTCATGTTTAAAAGGCATATTTATTATAGGTTACTTGTAACCTAGAAGTATAATAAAATAAAAAAAGCTATATATAAGCTAACAAGTAAAAAATGTGTGTGTTCGGACGGAGCCTATCACGGCGCGATTATTTGCATAGGCTGGTTTCCAAAGTGTTCTGTTCTGCTCTGTCTGATCTGATTTGTCAGAGCCAAAATGTAACGCCGCGGAGATTTTGTATACATGTTTGGTTAGGTAGCATTTTATCTGTCTGGATCTTATTGAGTGTTTTCTTGAAATATTGTTTTTCTAATGAGACTGACATGTTCAGTAACGATCAAAGTACAATAACTTATGTTGGAGGTATCGATATTCGACATATATATTATGGATACTTTCACGAAGAAGACCAAATTGCCAAAGCGTATTAAATGTTTTTTCATGTCGGCGCTGGAAAGGTAAAACGTCTAACGTGCATTTGGTAAATATTACAGGAGAACGGTTTAATTTTTTTTTTAAATCATGACTAATTTTATTTGTTATACGGAAAACTAGAAAGTTTCAGCTTTTCGATATCACAAATAAAATTAGACTACCTTTCTAATGTTATTTATTTACTTTGCCTTTGCAGCGTCGATATGTAGTAGACAGTGGATATTTCGTTTCTATTGTAATGTTTTACCGAGATATGAGTTGCCAAAGTTAACATCATCAACCCGTTACACTTCTCACTGCCAGGCAAGGTTCTCATTTGAGGAGAGGGTTTACCATGTCTGCCGCGCTTGCTCAGTTCGGGTTGGGGACTTGATTCTTTTTCCAAGGGTTGTGAAGATTCACGAAGAAGATTCTTCGACTTGCATGTTCCCTCAAGATATTGTCCTTCTAATTCCTTCTTCAAAGTCCTTCAATCATTTAAATGTATCATAGCAATAATAAGCTGTTGTTGTCTAACAAAATGATTGTTTCATTCATTGACCTACCAACAAATGGACATCGGGTCTAATACAAAAACCACGAAAAAATGTCCGAGGTTAACCTATATAAACGTAGTGACATGTAACGAAATATAAAAAATTAAAACATTTAATTTAAATTGTAACGTCATTGCAGTACTACCTAAATTTGCTTGTTACATTTTAAGGGCCCAAAAACACCATATTCAGCTTCTACTGGAAACTTAACAAAATGCACCATATTTAGCTTCGACTGAAAATTACTTATAGCCTTTCTCGTAAATATTAATTATTTTTTTATTTGTATTATTATGTCGAATTTTGTACAAATTCACTTAAAGGTATAATAAAGAATCGGGCAAACATACAATTATTACTACAAATGTGAAAATAAGCGTGTACTACAAGAAATGTACCGATATTCTAACTAAACGTAAACTCAAATATCCGTAATTCCGATTTATAACAAAACTGTGACGCTTTCGAGTAATTTTGATGCTTTTTACATAGACAAAATTAGCTTTTGTTTTGTAGTCTTCGCAAAAACACATTATGAAAATTCGAATCAATGTTATTTCGGGCAAATGTATTTTCTGACTTCTGATAGGTAATCCCATGCCGTAAAACGAGTACAACAATATTTTGTTAGTTATTTCTAACGTTTAATAAAAAAAAATCATTTTAAAAATAGGATTAAAATCAAAGCATCTCTACAGTTTCTTTGTTTTAAATATTTCAATCGCTTGTGGTTCGAACAATTGAGAATGACCAAGAAGTTTATATAAGCTTCTTGAAACTGACGTAATGGGTCTCTTTCCATCTTTTGCGCATGCAATGTGTAGAAAAAGTACAGTTAGCTATTTCATTATTTCGTGTGCTTTTGTAATTTATATTTACGATTCAGTTATACATAAATTAAATACTATAAAACTGTACAAAATAACACTTTCAAATGACAACTATGATAACACAATATATTTGTATAGTGAAAATATGATACAAAATCCTGTTTTCACACTTAACTGCAGTAATTTTTACAAGTTATTATTTGTACTGCATATATTGGTATTGCATGATTGACAACCACGCTATCACTCGAACAAACGAAGACTATTCCGATTATTCGATTTTAACGCCCTACAGGTGCGGACACTTTTTAGCGCAAACCCGATGTCCATTTATTGATAGGTCAATGGTTTAATTACTCAATATAACCTAATGCGAATTATACAATGATGCACAGAGGCGAAAATGGAAGGACGGGAGGTCGCGCCGGGCCGGCGAAGCGACGCGTGACGCGGCGCTCCAGTGACGAAAGCGACGAGGAGTCGAGTGGCACCGACGATGCTCCGCCTGGGCCTGAACCTGCCCCCAGGGAATGGGGCGCACCTTGGGCTTCCTCTTCAGACTCTAGTCAGTGTCTACAATTGTTTTAACAATTTATTTACTTATATGTATCCTATTTGCGGTCCTACTTAATTTAATTAACCGACTTCAAAAAAAGGAGGACGTTCTCAATTCGACTGTATGTCTTTTTTTGAATTATGTTACGCGTTAACTCCGGTGTTTGTGAACCGATTTTGATGATTCTTTTTTTGTTGGAAAGAGGGTACCTCAGTAGTGGTCCCATTTAAATTGGAAGAAAATCTGTCATTTCTAAAGATGGCAAACTTGAAGATGATTAACTTTCGAGGCCGGGTTCTTTAGTACTCTGTACTGAGATTATTGCATGATCAATTCGTTAATACATGATATTAATTTTTATATTGCCTTTTTCTTAGTTTCGAGTATCCCTGTCTTCGTCCTTTTTTTTTTGGGTAAATAGTAGTTTAAATATAATTTGTTTATGATGTACAGGTCGCAGCCGGCCTGCTAACAAACGTAGCGCAAGCGCAGGTGGAGCAAGACGACGGGCTGCGCGAGCCAAACGACGTCGCGCAGCCCCTGCCTCTATCGCTGGTCTTGACTTGCTACACTCGACAACACTCGCATCTACTATACACAATGGAGCGGTAATTGAATACAAATTTTGTAAAAAAATATTTGGTCCGAAGTATTTGTGTCAAAACGCAAGAAATGGAATCGCATAGTTTAAGTTTCGTGGTATTATAGGTGACAGCGCCGCCGCCGGGTTGCGTAGGTCAGCGATTATCGGCGCTGGGCGTCCAACTGCAGCCTACGGACCGTCTGCATTCGGAGTTAGAGATCCCGCGATCTCCCCACACCCCCTACAGTCTTCAATTGCTACTGGACATGTTCCGCGACCAGTACCTCGCCTTCATCCAGCGGATGAACACTCCGGAATACGCTAATGAAATAAGACTACAGATCGATAAAGAAAAGGTATGTTTATTATATACTTGTATGCGCTGTAATCGTGTCAGTGGTTAGGAACAATCATTTGATTGCATATAATTTTTTTTTATCTGATAAACATTATCATTAGTTAATGAAAGAATGACTTTGTGGTCGTTGAACTCGCTTGTTATTTGCCTATTTTATCACTACACCTGTATTTAAATTTACTTGTTTTTTAACAGGAGAGAAATCAAAAATTAAAATCACGTGCATCACAGTTGGATAAACAAATTAGTGTGCTGATTAGTGACAGTGTTGCTCTATTAAAAGCGCGAATGAGCGAGCTTGGTATACACGCTAATAATACAGTAGATCTTCTAGCTAAAGCGAAGGAGATTGTCGGAAGACACAAAGAATTACAGAGCAAAGCTAGTAAATTACAAGCACAAGTAAACAGCATAGAGGCCGAACAGGCAGTGCTAGTGAAACAAAGGACGTTCGAAATAACAGAAAAGTATCGGCAACTCGGACACATACCTCCGGATGTAGAAATCACGCAAAGCATAGCGCACGATTGTATATTGAAGGAAATATCGGCTACGTTGGCTCACAGGAAGCGATTACACGCCCAAGTGGGCCATCTTCAGAGTGAAATAATGCAGATGGAAAGAGCCAGCGAGCAACAGAAAGTGGTCACGCCTAGTGTGCCCGTCGCGACCGTTAAACCACACACTGTGAATTCGAAACCCAGAAAATCTAGAGAGCATCGTTCGCGGTCGCAGGAGTGGCCAGACGTCCCCGATGTGGGGAAAATTGAGGAGCAAAATCCGGAGATTTTAGCCCAGAAGATACTGGAAACTGGTCGCCAGATCGAAGCTGGAAAAATTGCTAAGCCAAATGTTATAGTGAATGGATACACGCGGGAGCCCGAGAGACACATCGATCATCATAGGTTCAAGTTCTTTTCGATAACACATTTTTTGTTAGGGACGATCTTTGTTGGTAACGCGGCATTTCGAGGCAGATGAATTATTTTTAAACGCAAACTGCATCGAATTGCCGTGGCGCTGAACCGATATGAATAGAATATCATGTGAAATGAAATGTTGACAGGCTGGTTCCTAAGAGTGTCACACCGATTCATCGTACACCGCCGCAGCCGTTGCGCGGCGGACCCCCGCCGCTGGCGCACCGTCAGTCGCCCGTCAAGCCGCAGAAGCCGCTCAATGTCGTCGCCAAGGTACAGGAGTCTCCCAAGGTCATCAACTTTGAGGATCGTCTCAAGAGCATAATCACTTCGGTGTTGAATGAGGATCAGGTGTGTGCCGATTCTTCGTATGACTCTAATCTGTGCGATGAATATTGTATAATTGCAAATTTCTCACAGGAACAGAGAAAAGCGTCGCGACCGACTATCACCAACAACCCGAATCACGCGTACACCAACGGCTACGTGCGCCAGCCGAACCCCGCGCAGCACAACCACAACCAATACGCGTCACGCCTGGAGGTGAGTATGGTCGCGAGTCCGACGACTTATGTACGTACGAAATCATCATCACCGCGTATGCGTCGATTGTTTTGTAAACGTGACTAATGAGACAATGCGTGGCAGCCTCGAGGCTCGCAGGGGCTGAGCGGCGCGGCGGGTGCGTTTGCGCAAGCGCAGGCACAGGCCGCGGCGGCGGCGCAGGCGCAGGCGCGCGCCGCGCAATTTCGGCGCGAGCGCGAGCGGCCGTTCGGCTTCGAGCGCCGCGACGCGCGCGCGCTGCACCTCTCGCACAACGCGCCCTCGCCGCTGCCTGGGCAGCCAGACTACACGCAGGTGCGTCCCGCTCGTTCTGTCGTTCGATTCAGTTGCAAATTATTTTACTTTATTTCTTTATTGTTTTCGTTCTTTGGTTGAGCTTCGGTCTGCTAGAGCAATAAATGACGTTGTCGGCCTAGGTGTCACCGGCGAAACTAGCGTTGCGGCGGCACTTGTCACAGGAGCGGCTGGCGACGCCGGGTGCGCGCACTATCGGCGACCTGGTCAACGGTGAGATCGAGCGCACGCTGGAGATCTCCAACCAGAGCATCATTAACGCCACCGTCAACTCGCTCAGCGCACGACACTACGATCGCGACTCTGGCTCCCATCACCAGCAACAACAGCACCAGCAGCAGCAGCAACAACAGCAACAGCAGCAACAACAACAACAACAACAGCAACATCAACCGCTTGAAGGTGCATAGTCTAGTTTAATGTTAAGTTTGTATTGCACGATATCACGTGTCAAATACCAATATTCGCGTTGAATGTTTCTGTTCCTGTAGGTCTGGCAGCATGCCTGCAAGAGCGTGTGCTAGCATCGGCATATTGGCGCGGGCGTGGAACTGCTGGAGGCACTGGGGGACCTATCGACGACGAGGCTCGACGTCGTTCGCCACCGCCCGACCCGCACTCTAACACATCTACCCCGCTCGTTGACGAGTTGCCCGACGCGCATCGACAGCCTGGTACGACTTCTTCTATAATTGTTTGATAGTTGTAATATTTCACTGTCATTATAGTTTTTAATTCGAAACTTAAGGAATGAAATTTGGAATTGCGGAGTTTTGAAAAAAAGTAACATTCCCCCTTGTTCAGAAGGCGAGGGCGGTGAGGAAGTGGAGGAGAGCAAGTGGCAGGACCGCATCGCTTTTCGATTCGACCAGATTATATCGTTCGCTTCGAACGCGATTGAGGACAAGCGGCGACGGTCGGACGAAGCTTGTAACACCTCACCCGATTCCGGCATCGGCCACGGGGAGCGTCCACTGGCCTCCGTACCGCAGCAAAATCGCGATTCAAGGCCGCCGAGTGTTACGCCTATTGGTGCATCCGCAGGTAAATACTTCATAACCACGAAACAACAAATATATAAATAATAATTGTCACCTCACTAGCTCGAAAAGGCTTTCTTATTAGAAATCTTCACGCAAAAGCGTTTTTTGCATGCTAGCGTGGAAAAGATTTTTGAAATTCGAACTTGACGATAGACGATGTGGTGCACCTAAAAAAAAAGATGACACGTTCAACTACCGAATTGCGAAGTGTGTGAGATTCTTGAGGATGTACGTCATTTGCTCATGGAGTGTGTTCGGACGGAACATATCAGGGCGCGGTTATTTGCACAGGCTGGTTTCCGTACATTTAATGTTGGGTGATTTCAATCTGTTTTGTCGGAGCCTAACATGTAGTGTAGCGGAGATTTTGTATACATATTTAGTTAGGTAGTATTTTGATTTATCTGTCTGGATTTTATTAAGTGTTTTCTTAATGTACCGTTTTACTAATGGGGCTGACATGTTCAATAACGATCCAAGCCCCTAAATAAATAAAGATTTAAAAAAACTACGCGATTTGTCGAACATTATTTATTTATGTAATATAAATCCGTTGGTATATTTTATTCTTATTATTGTTGACATTAAATTGACAATGATAACTAATTGTGTTTAATACATTATTTTAAATCGTCGAATAACTAAAATAATTTCAATAATCAATCACACAAAAAAAAGTACAAGCAGGAATAAAAATAGATGAGGTGTAAATTCAGAGCGTATCCGAAGATAAACTTTTTCTTTTATTTAAAAAAAAACTGATGTTTTATATATAGATCAACTATTTTTCTTTCATCTACCATTTTCCTTGCTATAGTGAGGTGAAAAGTTGTTTTGCGTCTCGTGCCTTGAAACCCGAGGGTTTTTCAATCTTAGCTTAATTTGCTTGCTCCGGTGTATGGAAATACAAGCACTCGCGTCAAACAACATTGCAGCCTTGCATAACAAATAACTAGCCCAATTACTTATTGCTTACTCATTGTTGAACATAATATATATTTGGTTATAGGTGTGCAAAATGCAATGGGTAACGGCCCTTTGGAGGCGCGGTCGCCGTCGCCGTTGCCGGCGCATCACTTCAAGAAGCGCTTCTTCCGGCGCGAACGGTGGAGCGCGTGGAGCGGCACTCCGCCGCCAACTGCGGTTGACTGGGAGCGGCCCTCGATGTGACGCTCGCTGCCGAGGATTTAGCGCTGTGCCGTATGCTGCTTCGCGCACCAACGCTGCTCCTAGCGTCGTTTTCGTGCACTGTCCGCGCCGCGGAGGAAAGCTCGATTGTATTCTATGTACATAGAGTTGGGGCTGCATCCGCATTCGGCGACTGCGATCGTATCGCTCCCCGGATGTTGACTATGATGTCCACTTTTTTGTTATATTTTTTTTTCGAATATATAATGTAATTATGTATATTATTGAGTTTATTTTACGTTTAAGATTTGTAATTATTTAATAATAGGTTTATCGCCGTTCTATTAGGGCGCTCCAAAAGATGATCGCGCCGTGACACGGATTGTATTTCATGTGTTCATTTAGGTATTAGAGTCTGAAATACATGATTTGGTGACGATTCAGCGACGTGTTTTCGCGCCGGTCGTTTGGTGGATGTTTGTTGTTTTATGTGTTTTGTTTTCGATGTTATGGAAAACTCAGTCTGAATAATGTTAATCATTGCTTTGGGACGTCTTAAATTTTAGGTAGCGTAATGATTAAAAGAGGGTTTGTAAATATTTGGATATAACGTATGCATTGTGTAGTTTAATTCGATAAATAATTCGGTGTAGAGGGGCTCTAATAAACAATTTTCCAAACACTGCCGTATAGTTCCGAATATAGTAGTTTTAAAATCGAGTCAATATTATCTTAACGTTGTTTTGTATGTGAGACTAGCATGTTTTATTTAAATATTTGTGTGTAGCAATTTTGGCGTAATCTTTCTTTTATCTTTGGCCGTTCTTATTTATGTACTTTTACAGGTGCTAATGCAAATGAAAAAAAACAATAGTGCCAAATACAAGTGCACTAATCGGAACTAAATTGACAACAGATTGATTAATAATGTAATAGTAAATATCCGAATACGCACACTAGTAAGTGTACCAAGTAGTATGAAAAGAGAATAGAAGTCAATAAATAGGCTTTTTAATATTTTTTAGCAGAACTACTGTTCAGAACTAGCGTTGACATAGCAATATTAGTCATTTTATATAGGGTGTTACAAAATCACATTATTTATTTAATAAAAATATTTACTACTGTTGATAAGTCTAGAGTCAGTATGCAGGGTGTTATCAAAGGTGTGTATGTGTTAATGGGGTTATATTGTACCTTATAACTGAAAAAAGTATTTAAATTATCGAAAGCTTGTTACGGATTTCCAGACTTTATGACATCGTGCCTTGAACGTGTCTGCAGTCACGCTGAGAATTTATTGAAATTTGTGTTTGAATCACATTCATGAGCATAAATGTGCCTTTTGACTTTGTTTACACCCTGCATTACAATGATAACCATATTTTTTCATGTATCCAATGTAATCAGGTAAGTTTATAATTATAGCAATAATTAATAACCAATGAATGACACCACTAATGTAAACAAAAATGTGATTTTATAATGATCCTTTATTTAGTGACCAACTATGTATAAAAATAGGTATATTTTATACAGTAATCGCTCACGAAGATTATCCGCCTTTTAGAGTAAGACTTACCTACCAACAATAAGGGATTCTATATGCATTGGGTTAAGATTAAAATTACGACATAATTATATCTGTGTAACTGAATGTTGTCGGAGCTGCGCGTAGTTAAAAGTATCGGCGTCTAAACTTAAATGACTGATATAAACTGAATTTTAAATGGAAACTTGGACTTGCGTTAATTTTAAAGGCCTGATCAAACCAACGCGTCGAGCGTACAGACTATATCGATTGTGTCATCGCGTCCAGCGAAACACAAGTGGCAACAGTACGTTGACCACGAGTTAACATTTGCAAATTGTACAATGCCGTTAATGGTCATAAGAAGAAATGAAATATGCCACAAAAATATTTTACGTAGTTGCTATCACAGAAATCTAAAATTTATTTAGATTTTTGTGATTGCTATACATATAACACTAAATTCGCAATAGAGGCACTGTCCTCCCCGCGGCGTGATCGTCGACGCAGCGGACGCGTTGATTTAATTGTACCTTTGTAAATCCTAATTACGTCTACAATTGTTTTAATATAAATAATTGTGTCATTGTTAAAAGTAATTATAAAACGCAGTACCAACACATCTAGTTCTAGAAGGTTTTACAGTACGTTATTTATTGACCTTGTGTGCACTGTCTTGTTACATGTGTCTCGTATTTTGCAGTGTTGACAAAATGATACATTAATTTTCAAATGTGTGTTTTTTAAATAATAATTCAGTGTCTTGCATATTCCTTTTACATTTATCGCATATTGCTAAAGGTGACCGTGCATTAGTTAGTACTCTGCACTTCACTTGTGTACTTGAGTGTGAAATTTTAATGAAGTTAGCAGCATCGCAGTGGTGGATTTATAAAATGAATTTAGGCTATCGGCAAGGTGCTGCAATGTCAACAGTGTTTACAGTGCGGACTAATGCACATTCACCACAGGTGCGAAGGGAATGCAAATTTTACTCACTCTCCTTAAAAAAGTATTTATTTGATCTTTCTACATAATTTACATTTGACTACTCTATTGCATGATAATGATAATTGACATAATTTCCATTTTTAACTTGAAAGTATATAAATTCAATTAAATTATTGTGCACTATTGTAATTGTTATAATTAAGAATTTCTCACGAAGTATTGGTATGACTGTGTAAGTGTTATAAAAGTAAAGTAAGGAAATAAGCAATGGAAGTACTTTGAGACGACTATTTGGGTTCAGAGAATGAGATTTTCAAGAAAATATAATGTTTGAAATACATAGATGACCGTAACATACTTCCACACGAGCCTTATAGTTATAGTTCATAAATAATAATTAACACGGTGTTTTATTTGCGCATAATGGTGTAATAGACTAGAATAGAAATTAAGTGCAGTGTGTTATTGTATGTATTTCAAACATTGGAATGCACTGGTTTGATTGTGCCTGAAAAAACTCATCAATACCGCGCCAACCTCAATTTGTGTATTTGTATTATAATGTAAGCGTAGAGATCAATTCTGAACCTTTGTAGAGTAGAGTTACCTATGTTGGCGAATGATAATATTATATTTTGCTCGTCAACCCTGGTGTTGACTCGAAGAGTGATTACATTATTCAGTTTAAGTTTTATTTTTTGATGGGGAAAATGTGAGATAACTGTGTGACGATATAGTTCTAAAATAGTACAAATGAGAAGACTTATTGTCGTAAGCCTCGGACTATTCAACATTGCAAATGCTAGGTTTGAGATGTATCCCTGTGTACTAGTTTTATTTTGTACTAAAAGTTAAAAATAAATGAGTAATTATAATAACGTTTTATTTCATTTCTCATGCTCGTAAATCCAAACCAGAGTTTGGTAATATAAATGGGAACTGATTATTTTCTGAAATGCAAACCCTAAATCAGTGTAATAACTGATTCAGGGTTTGTGCAGCAACATTAGACTAAGTTCAGTTGGACGCACACCTGCTGCCGATCGACGTATATTGACGCACGTAGGACGTTAATAATGACGAGAAACAACGTACGGTGCGCGCAAGTACTAGTGAGCGATATCGCGCAATCATCTACGCTGAAGAAAAAAAATGTTTCCTTTTGGTAAAATTAGCTATATTAAACATTTATAAGGTACTGTACGGTGCTGTCGGTGTCCTCATTTAGGTATCCATTATTTGGACATAGTTATGCAAACAAGAACCAACCCACACCTCGAGTGAACTTGAGTTATGTATTTAAGTAGAACACCAGACGTGTCCTTTACCCGCTCATAAAAGATCCTGGCAATATACCAAACCAACACGGAGAAAATAAAAGTCCTTCAGGGTACCAACCCTAAATAAGTAACTTTTTAATAGCTAAAAAGAACCATGCTGCTTAACTTCATATAATGTATTTTTTTAAATATGCTAAATGGATCCATGTCACATATACTGAAGTACTGTAGATCTTTAGCGTTGCCATTACGAAAACTAAAACACGGTTCTCGTTAACTAAATAAAAAGAAACATAATGTTTTCTATTTATTGCTATATAATATAATAGTTTCACTATATCATTCTCAATGCTACACGTAACTCATGTTGTTTGTCTGAAATAACTTACCTCTTTATATCTTCACACTGTTTTTACAAAAATTTAATTATTTCGAAAGTGACATTTTGTGGGTTGGTTCTAGTTTGCATAACATGTCATTTGTACCATTTGTACTAAGTGTTATACAAATAGTGGACACTTATGTTAGGACCGATTGTACTTCCCCTTTATGTCCCATTAATTTTTTTCCACCCTGTATACTCCCTTGTAATGCGTTCATAAATTTACGCTGGTCGCCGTCGGGCGAACATGAATATTGAGTTTATTTTAGAAATCTCAATGTATATTATTTTGTGACTTTTTAAAAATATGTCTAGAAAATTATTAAGCTTAAGTACAGTTGGGTAATTAGCCTAAAAATTTCGAATAGTCGAAACTTTACCAAAAATTTTTCTGAAAATATAATTGGATGACGTTCTTCGTTTAGATACCTTTTGAAGATTTATTTAGCGTGAAAATAAAGTTGTTCAGATAAAAAGAAATGCGAAATTTAAAATGATTGGACAACAGCGTTAAAAAAAACTTGGCTCCGTCGTTTTCGTTCAGTAACACCTTTTGATATTCAGGGTCGTATTCCAGAACTCTACTCAATGCTCAAGTCAGGATTTGAGCATGGTTTAAAGCACTAGAAATCATACTCAAGTCCTTGCCCTTAGGGTCGTATTTCCAGTGCCAGTATGATTTCAAATACTCAAGTCTGCTCAAGTCAAGTCTGCTCAAGTCAGGACTTGAGTATGATTTCAAGCACTGGAAATATGACCCTAATGGCAAGGACTTGAGTGTGATTTTCAGTGCTCACTGCAATTCAAGTCCTGACTTGAGTATTGAGTAGAGTTCTGGAATACGGCCCTCAGAGTTTTGAGGTGTCAAATGTGAACAAATTATAGACATAAATACTATAAAAAACTTTTTTTCCATCTTCTGAGATAAAAATATAAGTAAAAATATTCATTTTTCTGAAAAATATGTTTTTTTGAAAATGGAATTTTTCCATCTTACTTTAGGTGGATGGGAAACTTAGAGGATGGAAAATAGTTTCCATAGTCTAAGATGAGAAATATACAATATTCCATGATTCCTAAACGCTTATGTCATTTGTCAATGTCAAATTTCACAGCGCAGCTACCGATACGGAGTGCTATAATTTTTTTTATCGTTTTCTATGATTTATTAGTGAAATTAAACTGAGTCACATAATTAATAATGGCTGGGCAAGGTCACCAATTCCCTGGAAATTTCCAGGGTAACGCAGGAGCCATGAGAACGGGCTTCGGCGGTGGGCCTATGGGCGCACAAATGCAGTCGATGCCTAATCAATTGACCGGTAAATTATTAGTCTGGTTAAAACAATATCACTAAATAAAGGTTTCTTACCACGGTATGACTTTAAATTCTTCTATCGGTATTTCAGACCGGTTAGACGCTTTATGGTCTCCGGTCCGGTTATACCGTGGGAAACCTGTAATTCTAGTGCTAATCGTTTATTGAATAACATGACCGTGTAGTTAAGACAGTTGATATTTCTATTTTTACTGACTAGGTGAATTAAGTTATTATGATGTTGTAGGTGTAATGGGAGGTCCTATGGGAGGTGCAGCTGGTATGGTGGGAATGGGCAACCCAATGGTTCCTCCATATGGTGCAGGAATGCAAAATCAAATGGGAGCTATGGGCATGGGCCCACAGGTAATATGATAATACAATTTATTTAATTTCTAAAATATAAGTAGTATAAAACTTAATCTACATTGAATTATGGAATACGTATGGTTTTCATCATTGAAGACTGGACCATAAATTAAGTAGTTCTCCTTGGATTGGATAATGATCTTAATATATGAAATGAATCTACTACTACATTTTAGCTGAGTATGTTTTAATCTCTGCTATAAAATCCAAAAGTTTTTAATAAACACTGTTTCTCCATACTGAATTATAAAAATTATGGCTGTACCTAATGTCAAGTTATTCATTACTAAAGGTATTATTTTTAGGCAATGGGAGTGGTTGGTGGTGCACCTGGAGCTGGTCTTGGACCACCTGCTGTTCCTCAACAAGGTTTGTGCATACTCTCAAGGAAATTAGTTCCATTTTGCCACTTATGAAAAATTTGTCTACTGTTGCAGTATTCATGGTATATAGTATTCATATACATATACATATAAATTGTTATTAATTTTTAAGCTAAGTAATATACTATGACTCACCTTCAATAAAAACCCTCTAAATTAAGACTTGTCAGTATACTGACTTCCATATTACATACAGTAAGTTATTGTGAATCTTGCTGGTCACACGTATTTTCAGTGAATGCATCAATAGCAGTGGAGCTCCTTGTGAAAGAGTTTGTCCAGGGAAGTACTGCCACCTTACCTACTTCTGCCGCCAAGCAGTAATGTGAGCATTACTGCGTTACGGTTATGAGGGTAGGGGTGCTGGTGAAATTGCAGGCACATGGGACTTGTCAACTTATGTCTCAGGAAGTGTTAGATCTTTGTGATTTACAACTATAAGTGGCATTGCAACTGTTATAGACAGGTGTGTTGTCTACCACCAGTCGCACAAATTGTTTGTCCTGTCATGTAATATAAAACAAAAAAAGTTAGTTTATACAAACACTATTTGAATTTAATTAGACTCGCTGTTACAGTGGCTGCAATGCAAGCTGGTGGTGGTGTAGTGCCAACAGTTGCCCCACAGCCTGCAGCTCCACCTGTACAAACACCTCCACAAAACAAGGAATTTAACACTGCTTCTCTTTGCAAGTTTGTATTTTCTACTTTGATGTTATTATATATCCTACACATACATTTGTACGAGAATGATTCTTGAAGGCTATATATTGGAATTTCATGTGCAATTTAAGGACATAATTCTTATCGCGTTCTTAGGTTTTCGCGATTGTTACAAATAGGAAATGAAACTATTTTTCCGGATTTAAATTGCGTATATGGTCACAGTCAACCGTGACCATGGGACCTGTAAAGGACCCGAAACGTAGGTTTGTTTGGAAAAACAAATGTACGCGATTTAAATCCGGAATAATAGTTTCATTTCCTAGACATAATTCTTTTTCAGGTTTGGTCAAGAAACTGTTCAAGACATAGTCAGCAGAACCCAAGATGTATTTCAGACTTTAAAAGCTATTCAAGTAAGTTTACATTGATTAGATTTTGCGGTCAGGTTGAAAATTTGTACTGAATTTGATTCAATATAACTTTTTATTGGACAGTCAATCCGTGGCCGTGTAATGTGAAAGTGATATTATTCAAATATTAGATGGATAGTTGTAAATAGTAATTAGTATCAAAAATACTTACTATCTATTAAAGTTATCTGTCTATCTATCTACATGGATTCATGAGCCAATAGTAAATGTAAAACCATCTCTGCAACACAAGCCTTTTTTTTTACGGGGGAGAAATCTTTATAGATACCCCTGAGCCCAGGGAGACTCAGGGGTTATGGGGGGACTCTCCCTCCTGACTGGAGGACTTACCCCACTAAAAACCCCCCCGGGTTTACATCTCGCCGGTTGAATCGGCACCGTGGGGTCGGTGCACATTCACTACGACGCCGCCCGGACGCCCTAGCTTGCGCCAGGGCTCCCGCGCCAAGGGAGGGGCAGGTCAGTTGTCCTCCGACCCGCCCCCCAGACGAGGGAGGTCGTGCAATGCAGGCTCCGGAGTACCTGTCCAGAGCCCGCTGGCCTCACAAGGGGATCAGGCGAGCAGCAAGCTGCCTTCGCCTTCTCCCCGTACTTCTGCGTCGAAGCGGGTGCGCGTCCGCCGCGTCCTCGCGCACCCGCTCCGCAGCCTCCTTTTGCGACATAACCTCTCCGCAAAAGAAGGCCACCTCCTCACAGCGCCCGGCAGCGAGAGGTCCTGCCCTATTGTCCCCGTCAGAGTAAGGCGCTGCTCATCCCACCGGCTGCATACCTCTAGGGTGTGCTGCGCGGTGTCATCCGCAGCGCTGCACTCGTGGCACTGCAACACAAGCCTGAGCTTAGTGCAGATGCCCCAAGTAAAAATGCGAGATAACTAATTAATAATTACGCAATTGCCTAGTTTACTATGGAGCTTCAATAATGTATGTATATTATTTATTAATGTGTTGAGACAGTAAACGATTTATTATTAATAAAAAATGAAAAAATGTGTATATGTAGCAACAAATTAATTTTTAATTTTTATTAGCCCATTATCAACTAGATAATTTATACATATGTTTACGTTTCGTATAGATATCCTTATCATCAACATGGCTTCTTGAAGAACTTGTATATTTTTTGTAACATTGTTTCCCAGCCCCCAAACGGCACGCAGCACGGGGAAAACGCGAGCAACGACAAGAAAGCCAAGATGCAGGAGCAATTGCGTACCATCAGATTGTTATTCAAACGTCTCAGGCTTATTTACGAGAAGTGCAATGAGACTTGTCAGGTATTTTTTCATTATTACCTTTCATTCTTATCATAAATTGTCGCTGGTTTCATCATATTTTGGTTTTGTTTGCCTTTTCCGAAAAGAACTGTCCAAAATACATAGGGCGCACTATAAGTAAAACTAATTACAACATTTGAAAATGGAACTCTTTGGCTGTAAAATACAGTTTGTTTCATCTGACTGTCACTTGTTTTTACATTGTGGTGTCATTTTAGAAATTGTTTGTCTACATCACCAAGGATTTAACTCGTGAGAATTTTCGTAGTATGATTTTCTACGACTTTAAGTGTAACTTAACAGCTCAGCGGAGCTTCGCTCGACTTCAATCTGCTTTTGGCGATGAAGCACCATACAAGACGACTATTTATAGCTGGTTTGCAGAATTGAAACGCGGTCGTGTGAATCTCAACGACGAATTTCGTGATGGTCGCCCGTCCACTGCTGTGAACAACAAAACATCCATGCTGTGCGCCGTATGATCAAAACAGACAGGCATGTGACATACACACATCAAAAAAAGTTTGCGATCACTTCGAAAAACTGAAATCTTTTTTCTTACTGTAGATTATATTATGATTTTTTCTTCTTTTTAGATTCTTTATTTAAAAATAAATTAGAACATAAAACAATGACCCCGTTCAATTGTTTTTTCATATAAAAAGGCTTTCAGTCCTAGCTTACGCTCATTCAGAAATCTGATTTAGTCAATTATAAGCGATTCAAGATATTTTTCGCGGAAAGTTGTGATTGAAAAAATGCCAAGAGGATTATCAGAGGTTTTACGAGCTAGAATAGTAACTTTGAGGGAAGAAGGATACACCACGAGAGTAATAGCACGCAGACTTGCTATATCCCAATCCTGTGTCGTGGCTACGTTGCACAGGTATCACGGAATGGGGAATTTAGCTGACCGACCCCGCAGCGGTCGCCCAACTGTTTTGACAGCTGCCCAAAAGCGCTATATTAGATTGCTGGCAGCCCGTGATCCAACAATCAACGCCACTAAAATAAAAGCAGAAGTCAGGGCCGCCTCTGGGCTTGAAGTTAGCACGCAGACCGTTCGCAATTGCTTGCCCCAGGCTGGATTACGAGCACGGAAGTCTTGGCGAGCTCCGCTCAATTCCCGGCAACGTCAACAACGAAGATTGCAGTGGGCTAGACTTCGGCAAAATGAAGAAGGTGAGAACGAAAACATTTGGCAAAACTGTCTATTCGTTGACGAATCCCGAATCAGCACTCATCCAGATAACCGACGTGTCCGTGTCTGGAGAAGACCAGGCGACCGTGAAAGACTAAGAACTGCCACTGGAACAGTTCAGCAAGGCGGAAAATCGGTGTCCTTTTGGGGTGGCATTATGATTGGAGCTAGAACGCCTTTGATCCCGTATCGGGGCTTCATGACAGCAGACGTGTACAAAGCAGTTGCTATTGATGATATCGTCAGACCATTCCGAGTAAACCATGGGCACCAATTTGTACTGGTCGATGATAATGCGCCCGCACATCGAGCTCAACGAGTCAATGCTGCTCTTCAAGAATACGATATCACACGATTAGACTGGCCTGCCGGCTCGCCCGACTTAAACCCAATAGAGCACGCGTGGGATGCTCTTAAATGAGCAGCATGGAACCGTGAGCCACGTCCCCAGACAGTTCCAGAGCTCAGGGAAGCCGCTATTGAAGAATGGGATAGGTTACCCCAGGAAATGCTGGATAACTTGATCCTCAGCATGCCCAGGAGGATCTTCGCATGTATTCGAGCCAGGGGAGGAGTTATTTTATATTGAATTCACACCTTTTAATAATAAATTGTTGTTTAAGTTTAATTAAACAGTCTTTTTCTTTCTATGAAATTTCTATCACTATTACATTATGATTAATGGCTCAATTTTTTAAAATAAATAATAAAAAATAGTTTTATATTTTAATTTCAAACAGGGTATTCCTATTTAAAGAAAGCATACAACATAGATTTTTTCTTGATAAAGTTAAATTTAAAGAATTATAGGAGCTTATGCTATTGATCGCAAACTTTTTTTGATGTGTGTACATTGAGGTTCCATTTTTAGGCATAGGCATGAGTCAAATACAATCAATACTACACAAATATTTGGGTGAGAAAAAGCTGTGCTCTCGGTGGATCTCACACAATTTGACTGAGGCTCAAAAAACGGATCGCGTCACTTGGTGCAATGCTATGCTTATCAGATTCAACGAAGGGGCGTCAAATTTGTGGGACATTTATAGTTACGATCCCAACAAAGCAGCAATCAAGCGTGTGGGTCTTTCGAGATGAGCCGAAACCACCATAGTAGCGCGCGTGCAAAGGGCCTCTAAGCGGGTGATTGCTTCTTTTTTTAATAAAACTGGATACGTGGCTACTGTTGCTTTGGAGAATCGTTGTACCGTGAATAGTGATTGGTATACGACCATTTGTTTCCCGGAAGTTATTGACAAACTTCGTAAAAATAACTGTAAACGCCGTATCTTGCACCACGATAATTCTCCTCCACCAGTTCTCACACGGCCAGACAGACAAATGAATTTTTGAAGGTGAACAACGTTGACCTTATGAGCCACCCCGCCTACAGTCCCGACCTGGCACCCTGTGACCTTTAATTATTTCCAAAAATTAAGAACCCGTTACGCGGTCAACGATTTTCATCACTTGAAGGGGCTGTCACAGAGTATGAAAAATATGTTTCAGAGATTGTCATGGAGGAGTGGCATAAATGTTTTCAAAATTGACTCATTTGTATGAAAAAGTGCATTAACGCTAACGGAGAATATTTTGAGAAACAATAAATTCGTTTCTGACCATTTATAAATACTATTTTTTTCTTATTCATTCCAGAAACTTATAGTGCGCCCCACGTATCAAGCTTGATGTGCGCTTGACTATATGAGATTAAGTAGTGTCAGAATCATAAACAGAATGGGTAACTAAGAATACTAATATTTCCTACTGTTTTATTACAGGGTATGGAATATACACACATGGAGAGCCTGATCCCGCTAAAAGACGAAGCTGATAACAAAACATTAGACGAACGACGTGGCACAGAGGCTTATAGGCTGGCTTTGGAAGAAAACAAGGAACTTACGGATCAGGCAAGAGCATTTAACGTTTTTTTTTCGTAGAATTTCACCATTTCATATTACAGAGTTGTTGGGGCTCTGGTAATCTTTAAAAATTCCTCCTCCTAGCATAGACGATACCTTGTTACTGAGGGTCGTGACTCCCCCGCGGAAGTAAGCTCCGCATGACAACAACGCCGTGCCATCTGTGGCGGTCTCTGGCATAGTAGAGCGCATCATGGATACCCATGCCGAGAGCCGTATAAAGCTGATCGGACCATTTTTGGGACACCGACTCCTCGGACGTTTACCGTCGATCCGTCCGATGACCATTACGTGTTCGAGGTTGTGCCTTTCTTTGCTGGAAATGTGACCAAAGAAATCAAGTATCCTACAAAGACATAAGGTGCACGGTCTGGTCTGGACGTTAAGTTCTCGCGAAATTGAGTCGTTGGTGCGAAAATCCAACGGACTCCCAACATTTTTCTCCAGCACCACATCTCGGACGTGTCAATGAGGTAAAAATTAAACCACGCGAAATAAATCAGCGTCATTAATTTAAACATGCAAAAGCAGAAATGTCTCAGGGAAATACATGGTTACAAATATTTTTATTGTGTGCTTCTTCTTTTCGTGTCAATGTCAAACTTCAACAACAAATCGATATTGTCTTTGGTCCAGTACGCAGCCTTTATCCCCCTATCTGTTACATTTTGCAAGCCAAGAAAATCTTAACTTCTTTAATGCTGTCGGCCTTGGGTCCAAACTGTAATTAGTAAACTGCATAGGCCCTGATTGAAACCACCCTTATAAAAATAATCTTTTTAATATTTTAGGCCTTGGGAGAGGCGAGAGTCTAAAATAGATATAACAATAATAATAATAACACTAGCAGGTCTTCAAGATTGCTTATTGTCTTACTTCACATTATTTGTTTTTGTTCGCAGGTGATGCTAAAAAATAAACAGCTGAAGGAAGTGATTACAAATTTAAGAACTATTATATGGGAAATTAATGTCATGTTGAATATGCGAAGATCATAAAAGTGTTAAGATTTTTGAAAGATTATATTTTAACTCAGCATAATCTCCTTTACTCAACATCAGGTAAATTTTATTCTGTGATATGATCTCCGGTAGTACAATTAAATGTGTAATTTGTTAAAGTAATTAAATGTTGACTAACTAGATACTGTAGGAATTAATTAGGAGAATTATATTAAATACATGTAAGTAACATTAAAATATGTATTTTACAAATATTTCTTTAATTTGTATGACCTATTTAAGAAGGCAAAAATGGTACAAAAATAAATAAATTTACACTCGCAAAATAGGCAAGAGTTACATAAGTTACATAATAGAATAAGGAAGTTTCGTTTACATAGTGCCTTCCACCATGAAACTAAGAATCGTAATAACTTATCACTGTGAATTTGGTGTCTAAAGTAACCAATTATTTTTGCATACAAAATGTAGAAAATCTAAAGTAAAGTAAGATTATATCTAACTGCGTTCGATAGGCTTTACAATCTCAGTTGCTTTTTTAGTTTTCTTTTCAAAAAAATTCTTTTCGTATGGACGTCTGTCGACGATGGACTCCTCGGGTGTCTCCGGCTCTTCTCGTGGTTGATCGGCTTGTTCCGGGATTTCTGCATCGAGGTTCTTGCCAGCGCTTCTTCCAGCAGGTAGAGCGTGGAAGGCCTCAGCTAGATCAGGGTTAATCTCTTCTAGAGGAGTGTCTCCTGGTCTGATGTACACGGGGATATAGCCGTCTCTTGGAGGCAGGAATTGCCATTTAGGTCTGGCTTCTGTAAAGAATGCATGATATTTTTATTAGTTGTTGAAGTTTGGTTTTCGTGAGTACCTGATTTTCACAGCAAATATTGGGCTGTTCTGTTTTTATTTTCTTTCTTTATTTTTTTTCACAAAATTACTTTTTTTCTAATTTACTTTCTGTTTCATAATTTTTTTTCCTCAAAATTCGAGGGGCATAATATTAGTAAATAAATTATGACTATTTGCAAACATACCAGAAAATGACAAAAAAAAAATTGACGTGTTCATTGAAGGTATCGATCTATTTGCCAAATTTGATTGAAATCGGTTAACAGAAAGTGGGTGAAATCCAATAAACCAGATTCATGTCCTAATTTGCCACCTTTAGAGGTGGAATCTTTTCTTTCAAGTTTGGGACCACTACAGAGGTACACTCTTTTCAATAGAAAAAGAATAATCGAAATTGGTTCTTTAATATCGGAGTAATTGCGTAAAATACACACACAAAAAGACCACAGGCGAATAGAAAATATCTTTTTTCTGAAGTCGGTTGAAAAACTAAGAGTAAGCGTTAACTGTTTGTGATCCGTTAACCGCCATTTTACACGTTTATTTATTAGAATCTTAATTATAGACGTGTATACGAGGTGTGTCTTGTCACGACTTATTGTTAATTTTATTATTCTATTGTGTCTTGTCTGGATTGTAGGAAGTATTTAACTATAGGTTTAGTTAGACATCTTTTGTTTTACGCAAATTGCTGACAATTAAAAAAAAATAGATTACGCAAAAAATAAAAAGTTTGTGGCATTTATTTAAATAATTATCACTGATTATGGGTTCAGTCAACTCGTGACCATGGGGCGAGTAGCCGTTCCGATCCGAAATGTCAGAAAAATTAAAAATAAGCAACTTGTAGCTATGAGTGATAATCGTAGTAGCAGTGTTGCTAACTAGACTAAAGTTGCTAATTGTCATTAAAACTGTATTTGCACTACATATGAAAAAATGTACTCATTTTATGATGCCCATTATAGAGTCTATTTTATTGCCAAGAACTTTATCATAACACGGACGAAAAACCAATACAACTGCCATTAAAAAACCTACCTATGAGTAACACGTTCACAAAGATAACTAAGAAAAAAAATAGATATTTTCATGTTAGTTTAAATTTAATTAAAAGGGCCAAAAAAGTAGTTAATTGTAAATAAAAAGTAGCCTTTGATGTCAAAATGTCCCTTATCCTAGCGACTTTGTCGTTAAGTTGGCAACGCTGCGTAGTAGTGAAATGTTTCGTCGCTTGGGACAGGCTAAAGCACCCGGCTTTAGACTCATTGGCGAGCTGCAACTGTAACGTGACAGGGGGTCTACTCTCATTTTCCGTTCGAAAAACAATTGCTGTCAAATAAGGAATACTCGTCCAAGTTAAAAGACAATGCCAAGTATGAAGCTTCATTCGGATCTTGCGTCTTTTAATTTGGCCGAGTATTTTAAATAAATTATTATTATTATTTCAAATAAATTTCTTGTTTCGGACGGATGTCGGACTGAGAACAAGAGTACAGGGCCAGATACAGAGAGATAGAGAGAGAGAGAGAGACAGTGAAGAGGTTCTGTACGCGTGAAACATTCTTCACTCGCTAGAATGAGTACCTGGTTATCGTTGGCTCACTGCGAAAAGCTCGCAAGACACGTACACACTATGATTTTTGCTAACATACAACGGTTACGGTTACAGCTCGCTAGTAAGTACCCGGCTTAAGGCGTCTTAAGCTATACTACCAGATCTTAGATTAGTGATAAACGTATAGTGAATAACCACGCAAGTGTATGCCTATTTTTAATAATCTATATTTTTAATTAATTTAAATGTACAGCCTCCTCCAGCCATTTAAAATGAAGTTGTATTAGAGCCTTATAACACTGGCGAATTGCGATCGACTTCAAAGCAAGGCGAGATCGAAGCCAGTCACCGCGAGTTATTTTTTTCATAATTACACGTAAATAAAGAAGTGTTTATCATTGTCCGTTAGGTAATTAATTTTAAAAACGTACATTAAAGTAATCACGAGCCTTTCTTCATGTGACATTGTCCATCTTAAGTGTGTGTTTTAAGTGATCTTGTATTTTAGGATTATTTTTGACTCGCTTTCAAAGAAGCACATAGTAGTTGCTCTCTTCCAGTCCATTAGTTGATAATGAATCCTCCCAAATTTGTCGTTGTATTTGCTTTTGTTTTCCTTTCCTGCGTCTTCGAAGTAACAAAGCGAAGAGCAGGGTTTCGCAACGGAATCAACTTTGTGCTGACACAACAAAACACGGATTACACGCCGCCGCCGCAAGATTGCTCACAAATAGCTAGTGTGATAAGGCCTTAGACAAAATTAAAGCTTGGAAAGGTTACACATGGCGACTTTTTGCAGCGATGCAACGCGAAGCAAACGCGTTGCTGTAGCGATGCAGTTGTTAATCGTCTACCTTTACACACGCACGCGATTTTTAGCAGCGATGTAAACGTGATGCAAGCGCGCGACTGCATGAATACAAACGCGCAATTGCATCGCTACACTTGTAAATCCCATATCGATGCAGTCGCGCGTTTGTATCGATGTAGTCGCGCGTTTGTATCGCTGCTAAAAGTCAACGTTTGTATTTAGATTCTGTTTTTGACGCGTATGCCGTATCTCTTCGCAAACATTTTAAACCATCTAAGGCGATGCTCTGTACTACACATTTAACTGAATTGAACTAACGGTTAAACGTCTATGGTTGAGATTATTATTATAATAATTTACAGTCATCAGTCGGAGAATGCAAGTCAATAACAAAACGTGCCCTCTGGTGTATTTAATAAAGACCCAAGCGTATTTTGATATATCGACGTAATAAAGATTTGAAGACCGAAAATAATACCCATAGAAAAAATTAAAGATGTATTAAAATTTGTTGCATGAATTATTAAAATAATAAATAAACAACAATAATTAACTACTAATAATGACTACATTAAAATATTTAATAATGAGACTGATAATGTAATGTGAATTTTAATTTTGCGTTTTGTTTTTTGAATTATAGTATATTAGACCTTTTGTTTTGAACATTTTATGCTAATATCGTCGGTGTTTTATAGAATGGGCGAGAGCGCCATTTCGAAAAACTGTTTAAGGGAGCATCTTTTAGGTTTTAACGACTGTTTTAAAATATTTACGTTCTTATCGAGTTCTTAGGTTTTCGCGATTGTTACACATAGGAAATGAAACTATTTTTCCGGATTTAAATCGCGTATATTTGTTTTTTCAAATAAACCGACGATTCGGGCCTTTACCGGTCCCATGGTCACGGTTGGCTGAGGTGGTACAGTCTTCTTTATTTAATTAATAACATAATACACACAGTACACACAATAATACACACAGTACACACAAGTGGTGATTTACTGTGTGACATAGTGCGCACCGCCGCCGGCGCTGTCAGAAGATGGTGAACACGTGGCCGCAGATTAAATTTATTTAGCGGGGGGATGAACAGGCGCACCAGTTGCGCCACTAATTCTGGGCAATTTGATTCTACCAGCAATAGTCATCAGACCATTGCATTGTCGGGATGGAATGTACCTAAGCGAATTTTTGCAACGAAGTAGTACATAGCATAATCAACTTTGTGTCACCTGTGTACGAGTCATCAAACAGGTCGCGGATATTCTGGAGAATTCTCCCACAGTTTCCAGCATAACTGCAGCTATCGTCTCGTAGTTTATACGTTACGTAATTGATATAAAGTTAATTATACTATGTACATTAGCTTCCATTAGGTTCCGCGGCATGTAAGTTAAATTACGTACAATGTAAATATAACGTATGAACGTAAATATCGACGTCTATTGCGCGAGGTAGAAAGCGTGTAGAAGTAATGGCATTTTGAATATCTTTTAGGGTAAAAGGATAATGTAATTTTGAACACCTATAATAAACTACATATATTCCAGACAATTTAGGAAGAATACGAAGATCCAGACTGTTTTCAGCACTGAGGTAAGATTTTGAAGTTGAAAGAATATTTCTTAAGATGTTTAAATTACATGCAATTTGAAAGAACCAAGAAAATAGTCCAATATATATATATTTTTTGTTATGTAAATAATCGGAAGTAAAGAATAGATAGTTTCAATACGGTAGGAACCCTACCCAAGTGCAAAACATAAATCTTCGAATTTTAATACTCTACATGAAACTTAGTCTGTTTGTTCATTTAAAATCATATATGTAACTTAAAAATGCAATATGGTTCTTCTTATCGTTTCGATGGCATAAACCATAGGTTCCCAAAGGGGTCCCTACCCCTCTGCCCCCCAGTTGGCGTTGAAGTGTTATAGGAGTAGGGGCCTCGGCAGCAATTGGGGGGCGTTAAAAAAAAACTTGAATTATCTATATAAACTACACTACATATAATGTATATAATATTTTTGCCTTGTTATTTTTTGTGTTAAGTTAAATTATTTTATGTGGTCGTAGGTGTTGAAATTTTTTTCTTGCGTAAGTGCATAAACTGTTATGTTTATCTGATACATGTAACCTGATGATGGTAAGCATATGTAAGTGTAATATGTGTAGTACGAAATAACCGGATCCAAGTGCTTACCATCTCGAACTCTCGAAGTTAACGGTCGCGCGCACTGAAGGATCCTTCATAACGATGTCAAATCTACATGCCGCATCTACAGTGGGAGGTATCTACCTTTATGTATAATTTTTACTCAGAATAGCGTTATTACAATAACGGTCCTTTAGTTTAGACTACTTTCGAGATTGTAACAATGAATGCCTTTAAAATTTGAAAATGTAGTTATAATTTTTTTTTTACTTTCTGGCTATGGTTTCTGGCTTGTCTCGGAGAATTAGTTAGTCATGGGAATTTCACGTTTTATTGATTTTAAAAAAAATATGTTTAACTACTTAACACCGCTCTTAAGTCTATTTATGCTTTTGGGACAATACGAAACAACACGATATACCAACAACATGAATGA